AATGTAATGTGAACGTTCACACAAAAAGATCGGATTTTTTCAAAAAATCAGAACTGAGCATTAAGACCTGCAGTGTGAACGTAGCCTAATTCTCAGTGGCTGAATCTGAGCAGATTAGACCAGCACCTGCTGCTTTCAAACCTAAAGACTACTACAAGCACTTAGTTTTATTTTCTGAAAACTAAGGTTAAGAATAGTACAAGTACAGGATGACCTGTCCATGGTACACCCCACCTCTTGCCTGCTGTTAGCTAGGATTGGCTCCAACCAACCCCCACCCCATTCTTGCCAATACACTGCCCTAATTATCAATAGGTTGCTTATGACACCACAGTAATTGGACTGATTACAGGCGGGTAGGAGGGCCATACGGACAACAGGTGGCAGAGTTAATGTCCTGGTGTCAAGAGAACAGTCTCTCCCTAAATGTCACAAAAACAAAGGAGATATTCATTGATCCGAAGAGGAGAAACCAATATTTCCCCTGAAAAACAGAGGGACCCAGGTGTAGAGGGTGAAAACATCCAATCTCCCTGGTACTCACCTCAGTCAGGATCTCACCTGGTCTTACAACAAAGGGGTACAGCAAGTCACAAACCACTTGCATTTTAAACTTCACATCCTCCACACATTCCAACCATTCCAGCCTCAAGTAAAGTAGAATGTGCAGAGCAACATTTCCATCTCACACTCATTTTTTTTGCACGCAGAACACTTTTGTTTGTCTCACTGAGGTCCATTGTTGCTGTGCTGTAGCTATTATTGTTTTATTTGAAAGATTTTTTTTAATAACATCCTTGCCAAATTGTATTGCTGTGTGTTGGGAGAGGTGCAAAGTAAGAATGTCACTGAATGGTGCAAACGCTTTTCCTAATGTGCATGTGGCAGTAATAAATGAACCTGAATCCGAATAAAAGGATGATGAAAATATATTTTAAAAGACTGTACTAGGAGAAATGATCTAATAAAGTCTAACGATCAGTTTAAATCAAAATCCAGAGTAAAAGCATGACTTTTAAGTAGAGATGTAAAAGTCTGTTTAGTTTGAATTGTACGTATAATTGAGGGGAGATGGATATTTCCATGTGTTTAAACAAAACTTTAAAATCACAAAAAATATTTTCATTTTAGAAAACGTTGTAACTTTTCTAAAAATAGAGTTTGAAAACTGGTGCGGCATTAGTACGGCAGACTGATGTGACGTGATGTGTAATTATTAGGTCATATTCAGATGGCTGATCAGTTAACTCAGCGCATGAAGAGGAAAAAACAAAGAAAACACATTCTCTTTGCTGTYCTCTCATTACCAGCTTAGAAATAACTAAATAATCCAATGATGTGAGTATATTCTTTTTTTCTAGACAAAATATTAGTTTGTGTGTGCGGATTGAGGACAATGACACAACGTTCAACCTGGTTTAATCCAGATGTGTTTCTGCTTTGTCCCTCAGATATATGAGCCCAGCTCTGCACAGCAGCAGCAGACAGAAGATGCCTATCATGGCAGCATAAGCTTTTAACACAGTTTGAACAGCTGCTGGGAATTCTGGGTGGGACAGCACGGACTGGCCTCCACCCAGATGAGGATAAACCAGCAGATTGATCTTGGCAGCCTGGCGACCTTGGAGCCAGCAGTAGTAGATACCTGAAAAAAACAAAACGATTAATGACACAAAACTTTTCATTATCCTTCATTTGTTCTGTTTAGTGGAAACAGACAGAAATATCAGAGCTGAATATTGTGAATAAAAACTAAAAATGTAACAAAAATCCACAACATGAATTAGAAAAACATGTCAACAGAAACGTTTTTCTCAGACTACAGGTGAAAGCAGCATCTGAACTCAGTCTTACAGGATCAAGTCAAGAGATGGACAGAGCCATTGCAGTGGATCAGACCTGAGTCCTGGGTGTTTGCTGGTTGGAATAGCAGGTGATGCCCTGTGTCTATCTGCAGCCTCGGGGGAGCGGCACTAACGTTACCCATGAACGTGTGCTCTGATCTGTAGATGGGTTTTAGGCCCTGATCCCAGGCCACAGCCATATCTGGACGAGCTCCGGGACATCCCAGGGTTAGGACACGGTCTGTTGGATGGTTTATGTAGAACACAGGCACCTGGGTGGGCAAGGAGTCAGAACTTTTGCACAGGAGCAGAGTTAGTGATGTAATAGGTAAAACATGTGGTATGACATTAATACAGAATAAATATTTAATAAACCCAATAATCCAAATGAAACTTTAGGTATTATGAAATGGTGTTTTATGAAAAAATGATGTAAACAATCAATAATCAATAGGACCTTTAATCAACAGGACTGACAAGCTAGTGGATAGTCTTAAGTGGCAAGAATATAGTAGATGTTTGGTGGTTCATGTGAATTTTGAACGGTGTTTTGCAAGATTAATGCCAAGAATTTCTATGGTTATTTACAAGCACAGCATCAGGTAGCTGTAGCACTACTAATGCATCATGAGGGAACTATCTGGGGTCTGGTTGGGATGGGATCTAGCAGACATGTTGATGGTTTGGATGAAGCTATTATTTTAGATAATTCAGACAGCTCAACAACAGTCAAAACATAAATCTGGTTCCAGTGACATTTCTAAAGCTTCGTCATCTGACAGAGAATCAGAGGCAATAACAGGAAGGTTGTTGTGAATTTTATTTCTAAAATTATTTTATCTATAAAGAATGTCATGAAGTCATCACTACTTAGAGTAGGGATACATGGCTCAACAGAGATAGGACTTTTCATTAGTCTACAGCAGTGGTTCCCAAACTTTTTCTCTTCTGACCCACAAAATATCCATGGTAAAAACTTTTAACCCCAAATATTACTGGTCTGAGTACACAAACTTTGTTAATAACCCTAAAAACACAGGCTTTTTGACAATCTAAACAGCTTGTACACAAATATAAATAATTATTTATACTTATTTTGTGTTTTTGTAATAGTTATGGGGAAAATATTACATCAGCAATTATTTTATTACCCTTTAAATCGATTTCTGGAGATAATCCAAGGTGCTTTATGGCCCATAATTGGTCCCAAGTCCAACTTTGGGAACCAAAGAGCAGGGGTTCTCAAACTCTTTGGCTTTTGACCCACAAAATAACAGCAGCAGAGACCTGTGYCCCCAGCTATTTTGGAGGATAAACATTTTTATCAGGTCAACTAAACATAGGCATAGTAACAATATTTTTATATTACATTTATCCATTTTAAATACACTAAACTCACTCATTTGTAACAACTAAGGCAAAAAATTTAATTAATTCAGAAAATCTTTTCAGGACCCCACCTTGATGTTTCGGGACCCCACTTTGGGTCCCGACCCCAACTTTGGGAAACACTGGTCTACAGCACTGAACAGAAACCTGGGATTGTTTTTATTTTCTTCTATTAAAGATGAATAATTTGCAGTTCTAGCTTTATGAAGTCTCTCCTAGTTAAATAAAATTCTTCATGGAATGCCAATTTCTTTCCAGTTTTCTAGATGCCTGTTTTAAAGTGCATAACTCTGAGTTAAACCAAAGAGTCGGCTTCATCTGACTGATAACTTTCTTTTTCAGAGGAGCAATTTCATCAAGAGAGGTTTGCATTAAAGTTGTAATATTATCAACAAGATCATCTCTGTAAAACAGAGGAAAATAAAAAATGGAAGAGATTCTTTAAATTTGGCTACAGCATTCTCTGATAAATATATACTATAATGAAATTTACTCTCAGTGGCTGTGCAGTCAGTTAATGTAAACTCAAAGGTTATTAAAGGGTCAGTATTATGTGTTTCTCAGGCATATATTTAAATATTATAG